ACTAACAATATGAATTGTCCGTTCGTCCGTTTTCTGCCGCTTATTCGGCAGTTTAGAACGTTTCTGAATTGTCTCTCCATTCTGAGCAGTCAGGCTGGTTCAGTTTGCTAATGACACCACTTCTTGTGTGTTCAGTCAACAGATGTCCTGCAGCAGACTGACAGCCCATCCTTCACCCACCAGGCTTCCACCTACAGCCCCCCATCAGGACAGAGCTTCTACCCCCGCCTCCCCTCCTACTCCAGTCCTACCCCACCTTTCGTGTCAGACTGCAGGCAGCCGGGGGTCTCTGCACACCAGCAGAGTGCCAGCAGCAGCGTGGAGGGGGGCCACAGCTTCAGCAGCAGCCACTTCAAGACGAGCAGCCTGGGGGGCGCTCCGGCCTCAGGTCCGAGGACCCAAGGGCAGACTAAAGTAGACCTCGGGGCTCAAGTCCCCAAAGTGGGTCTTCAGCAGGTGTCTGACAGCCCGGTCCAGGCGGGGCTGGAGGCCGGCTCTAGACTGCAGTGTACTCCTGGACCAACACATTACTCTGAGCAAGGGGCGGGGCTTGGTCAGTTCCAGCACACCCCCATCCAGGGCGCTGGAGTCAGGACACAGTCAGGAAGCTTTTAGGACTTTCTTCTTTGTGTGTGTGTGTGTGTGTGTGTGTGTGTGTGTGTGTGCGTGCGTGTGTGTGTGTGTGTGAGAGAAGCTACACGCTCCTGCAGCTGTGGGTGTTGGTCAGGACACAGATATACAGACCTGATGGGATCAAGAACTCCTTCAGACATTTCTGTTTCCTCCATGTTTTCTTTTGACATTTTTATTTCAGGAAACTAGAAATGACTTTGTGCACACAAATAAACCCTTACCTTCACGACAGAATCAGCAGGAAATAAAACGATTTCTAATTATGTTGTTGGGAAAAGTTAAAACCCACTGGGGAGGGAAAACAATAAAAATCATGTTGTAAATAATTCACAAACACATTGGAAATAAAACAGTTTAAAATAAAAAAAAACATTGGAAATAAAGCAGTTTAAAATATTAAAAAAAACATTGGAAATAAAGCAGTTTAAAATAAAAAACATTGGAAATAAAGCCTTTTAAAATAATTAAAAAACATTGGAAATAAAGCAGTTTAAAATAAAAATTTGTTGGGAACAAAACGGTTTAAAAATATCTTGTTAGAGGGACAGAACCTGCAGGACATCAGGTGTTCCTTCAAATTGTCCCGTTGGGTTTCATCTTCCAGATTCCAAGTTGTGTTCGAACAAAAGAAGGTCCAACGTTCCACGCTAAGCTCTGCAGTCACTGCTGCTTCTGTTTGTTTGTTTGTTTGTTTGTTTGTTTGTTTGTTTGTTTGTAGGAGGGGAGCAGTGTGTGGGGATGTGAGTCAGGACTCTGGTTCTCTCTGCAGTCATTCTTTGAGCTTACATTTTGTTGTCCTGCTCGTCACGTTCTGGCTTTGGTTCTGTTCCCGCATGGCCTCTGCAGTCTTGTGGTTTGTGTTGGGACTGGGCTGCAGAACTGATACCTGCTTTGACACGCAGATCTTAGACGTCTTGGTGCTGCATCCAGTTCTGTCCCCGACCCGTCTGCATCCATCTTCAGCTGAGATCAGTAGCTTTCTGCCTGTTCTGGTCAGAAGCTTAAAGATTCAGTGCAGGAACAGAGGATGTTTGTTTTTACTGGTTTTATCTTTAAATCTGTATTTTCTCTGACCAGTTGTTGCATTCCATGTGACCGAGTCAATCTGACATGTGAGGGGGAATCCATGAAGCTGCTATGTTTTTCTTTACTCCCCCCTGCTGGACTTTTCTTTTTCTGTTTGTAATTCTTCACAAAGCCACCTGGAGGACAGAGACGCCGTTATGTGACCCCCCAATCCCACCCCCACCTCCGTTTGAGACTTTGATTCAGGGCCAGATGTGGGACAGCTGCTGTATTTGTGTGAAAGACTTAAAGGGCCGCCCCCACCACACCCTGTCCTCACCTGCCACTACCCCCCAACCAACACGTGGGGGGGAGATTACATGAATGTTTGACAGATTTAAAGACATTTGAAAGTTGTGACCCAAACTGAAGCAGCACCTTAAAACAAAAGACCCAAGAGGACTCTGATTCTGTTGTACAGAGCGAATGTGACCGACCCGCTTGGAGACGGTCCAGTTCATTGAATTCATGGCATGGTGTTTGTTTGTCTGTAGGTTCTGGAGGACCAGCTTCTGTTGGACGCTTTGAAGATCTGAGTCTGTTCTTCGGACACTTTCTTTTTCTTGTTTTTGTAACCATCATCCCTGTTTTCTTTTTTTTTTCACAGATCACAGTAGTAACTATTTCAATTGTTCTCTAAGAGATTTAAGAAGTAAGAGATATAATGCATTTTGATAATAAAATAATCAGAATGGTAATGGACTTTGAGATTGTGATGTCATTCTCACTGAAATTTTACATTTCACCACAGTTCTAGCAGGATTTTTTTTTTTTTTTGTGAAGGTATAACTTGTAATTTTATCCACAATTTTGTGAAAAAGAAAAATCATAAATATGACAAAACTATTTCCATGTAAAAAATAAAACTTTAGGATTTCTAAAATTGTATCTATCCACTTTCTTTTGTTTGTTGGAAGTTTGGCCTCAGAGATCATGGGTCCTCCCAGGCCTAAAAGGTTTTGCTTCGAGAGGGGGTTATCTGTGGAATCAAAGTGGGCGTGTCACAAGAGTGGGCGTGTCTAAAGCATAAACACAGTGGGCTAAGAGGCCTACATGACGGTATCCTTAGACCCTGCTTGACCTCTTTACAGCCTGACCCTGACCCCAACACTAMGGTTAACCAGGAGAAATGTGACCCAAGTAGGTTTTCTCCAGAAAAAGTGGTGCTGTACCGTAACGCCCCTTTTGTTCTTGTCCAATCAGGTGGTGCCGTACAGTAACGCCCCTTTTGTTCTTGTCCAATCAGGTGGTGCTGTACGGTGACGCCCAGTTTTTTTTCTTGTCCATTCAGGTGTGTGCCTTTAACAAAGTCCGTCAAATCAGGTGTGTCGCTTTAGATTCGCCTTTCGTTGGGACACGCCCACTCGTCCGCAGAGACCCCAGTCCTCCTTTAATTTGATGACCTCCAGGAAATTAGTGTTTGGTAGATTATTTATTTGTTGGAACAAGGCTTCTCGGCAATAAATCTTATAGCGGGCACCTGGATGGCAGCACCTGGGAGTAACACAAGCCCAAAACAAGTGTTAACAACAGCACAATAAGCTATTTGACAGACAAGAATCTGCAAATTTTCCATGTGCACAACCCACACACTCAGTTCCACTGCTCATCACGCAGATGCATGTTCGTTACAAATGCAACAGCATTTAAAAGGGAAATAAACACACTTTACAAATGTATAAAAAAAGCATTGTTACAACAAAGAAATATAATCTACCAAACACAAATTTCCTTACTTTTTGATCCGTTTAGTTTGAAGAGTAGGTTCCCCGACTCGCCGCTGGGTGTCGCTGCAGTTATGACGTCTGTCATGTGACTTCAAGCTTCCTGTTTATCGTTTGTTGGTAAACTTTCGACACCGGACCGACTCGTTTGAACTGTTTAACTGCTGCCTTAACTGGATTTGCTTCTCTCTAGTTCGTCTGTTGTAATGAACACTGTTTCTGAGAAGACACGAGGACGAGAAACTGGGGAAAATTAAATAGGCCTTGAAGAATCCTGGGAGTTTCCTGACCTCGCTCTGACGGACGTAGCAGGCTCGGACTTCGGGCCGTCGTGTTCTGGACAGACTGGAGGCTGGCACTGCAGTTCGCTACAAGACAGACACACAACAATAATCGAGTAAATAAAAGCTAAACGCATTTGGCGATGCCAAAGACTGCTACATCCGGGAAGCTGAACTACCTTTAGAGTTTAACTGTGCTACACCGGCAGCTAGCAGTAGAGCTAGCCGTGCTACACCGGCAGCTAGCAGTAGGGCTARCCGTGCTACACCGGCAGCTAGCAGTAGRGCTARCCGTGCTACACCGGCAGCTAGCAGTAGGGCTARCCGTGCTACACCGGCAGCTAGCAGTAGGGCTAGCCGTGCTACACCGGCAGCTAGCAGCAGCTCGTGGGTCTGTCTGGTTGTGACCGGCCGACAGCTTGTGTTTTGGGGGATAGGGGAGCAGTTCACCGTTGCCCTGAATTCAAGAGGACTCCCCGGCTCTGGCCCCGTCAAGCGGGCAGTCAGGAAAAAGCTCGCCGGGAAGGGATGGCCTGGTCGGTCTTCCTGTCCCAACGGACAGGGCTCCGCGGTTTTTGAAGGAGGCCAGGTCCGGCTCGAGTCCGCAGGTCGAGGCGTGATGATGGCCGCATGTCCCTCCGCGGCCGCCGGCTTCACAACCTCCGGACTGTCGGTCAGAAAGAGCCGAGAAATCTCGGATTTGATAGATTTGTTTTCCAAGACTCAATACAGAGTAAAGGAAGTAACCGCCCAGGTAAGATTAATGATGTTTTTGTGTAATTAATAAATTCATATGTTGTGTAAAACATTTAATTTACTTTTGACATTGGTATTTAGGTCCTGATGTGGAAGTGGAGTTGTGTGAATCAGTATAAATAAATTAAAAATGTTAAACATGTTCAGCATTATATTTATGATCTGTTCATGAATGAAAATGCATTGAATCACTTCTGAAAAGAGATATAAATAAACTACAGAGAGTTGAAACTGCTGGATCTCTATGCTTGTTTTAAATAAAACTATTAACTTTTGTGGAGTCTCCCTTTCTAAGCTTGTTACAGACATTTTTAGCCAAAATACACAAAATCTGACAAGATTTAGCATTAATCTATTATAAACTGCTACACAGAATGGATATTTGGTGTCTAACCATATTTTGGGAAATATAAGTCACACATTTAATCAGCTGTTTTCCATGAWAGAGAACCGTTCCAAGCTTTATGATGTTTGTGATGTTTTTTTTTCCTTCAGGTGGAAGCCATAGAGAAACGATGTCTTGAGCTGTTTGCAAGAGATTACAAGTACAGTATCATCTATAACTCAAATGGAGAAGTGTGTGGCCACTACCCTCGTCAGATCGTGTTCCTGGAGTATGAATGCACAGATGTGGACAGAGACAGGTACTTCTTTCCACTCAGTCGATGTAATCGTGTTCAAGAGCAAAGTCCAGTCAGTACAGTTAGCTGATCTGCTTCTGTTTGTTAGCGTCTCTCCTCTGCAGCGGACAAAGGTCAGCCTGTATGACTGTCGTCTCTTGGCTCAAACCYGTCTGACTGTAACTAAAACACAGACATTTCTGTTTCACACACCTGGTTAATGCTGCTGCTGTCACAGAGGCTGAGCAAAAAGATCTTCCAAACAAACGTCTGTATATTCGATAGGGGTGTAAGAAAATATCGATACTCTGAAATATCGCGATATTTCATTTCCCGATACTGTCTCGATATTCTAAAGCCCTGTATCGATTTTTTATTAAGGTTTAAAATGTCWACTTTCCTGCCAGCCGTTCATTTTTATGTTGTAGTTCAGCCTCTGACCACTAGTTGGCAGCAGTGAGCCAGCCATTTGGCTCCTCTACCTCTTGAGGTAG